TCTCCACAGCTTCTTCAGTCATAACAGCATCCAGCCATAACAGACAGAAACCCTCACCTAACACTACTTTACGTGTGGTGAACACCTGTGACTGCTCTGCTCTCTTGCTACCTGCTCATGCTTCTTGACATTCCCCAAACAGCACATTTCTCACATTTTCGCAGGAAGAAACTGCGTGGTGCAAGCAAGCAATGCAGGGCTCTATCCAGAGTGCCAAGGAGTGAGCCAGTGGTAGCCATATCTGCTATAATAATTCAACAATCCTCACATCAGCATTTTACAGAAAAATGGAAATGTTCAGGCTGCTCTAACAGTGCAGAATACACTGCACTGGAATACAGGGATTATTCACTACTGGTTGTAAAAACAAAACCTAGGTATGCCATGAGAAACAATAGCATTAACGTCACCTTAAACGGCAGATAGATCTCTTGAACCTAGAGCACAGAGAAGAGCCAAGACTCATTTGGATTTGCTCAACCAAGTCTATTATCTCACTTATTCCTTCCTGTTCTCAGATCAACTCCACCCAAGCACTACTCCCACCACTCCAAAAACCCTGATCATCCTCATAGCTGCTGGAACCAGAGCTTAAGCCATGCAGCAAAAGAACATAAACACAGCACATTCTTAAAATAGCAGAAGACAGAATAGACTTCAGTGAAATCATACTGATAAAGATAGGAAAGAGAAAACAAATTTAGATCTAATATTATTTGCAATATTTGTAAATTCAAAAATATAGACAGACTATGATCTTTGTGGAACAATTTCAATGAATACAACATGGAGCTGATATCGATTTCAGTGGAAATAAATATGAAGATTTAGTGACCTGAGAAGTATATATTGACCAAAGTTAAGCTGAGTTCAATACTTATCGTATGGAACAGTAAATCACCAAAAAAACAATTCGATATATGCACTGTAACCATCCTTTGAATGGTGTAGCTAAGATTTCATCTTCACTGGATGTCACTGAAACTGCAAACAGAAGCCACTGTAAAGTTTAAATACTTTACTGTACTCTTCTAAAAATACAAAATGATGCTATAAAATCAATACTGTGGAAACGGTACGTAATTCTTTTCCAGTCATCCACTGTAATTGCACCAACTTCTGGCAAATTATTAGAATCAACATGCTAAGACAGCAGGGACCATATAGTGTTACACTACACTTAGTTTGTCAGCAGCCTGAATAGATGCACGTTTTTCCATGGCCAAACTCACTAGCCATGATTATGGATATGCACAACTATTTTCAGTTCCAAAGACTGGAATAACAGAAATTATCATGTTACTATAAAATGAATTAAAACTGGTCAGATATGCATACAACTGCATATCTTCTTTTGGAGTCAGCAGTTTTCAAAGATTTGCCTAACTGACAATAAAGGTGAAGAATAGAGAAGTGAAGGAAAAGCCTATTAAGGGAGGGTCATCATTGACTAACAAACACTGCAACCAAATGGAGCAAAGAACCCAAAAACTGATGGCTACGGCAGAAAAGATTTAAGCAGTATATTTATCTTAGAAGACATAATGTGGAGAGAGTATGGTATTCAGGGCAGGTTCAGACAACAGAAAATAACTAGGAACAAATTATATTTGGAGGGCAGAAATGTATTTTAGTCATATAAAATTCTTAGAGCTGCAGAACTGTGTGAGATTGTTGGGATCCCAGAGTCACAGGGACCCACATGCTCCATTAAACTTTCTTGTGACTCCAGAGATGAGAGATTATCTGACCAGAAGGAAAAGTAGGAAGGCAGAAAACTGGAAAATCTTTGGTTAGTTCTTCTCCAACATTTGCCACTCCAGGATGGCTAAGGGTGCTCTGAAACCAGACAGTTTATCCCACTCATCTCTGACACTGCAGAACAGCTCTCTAACTTGCCAGGCTCAGCAGAGCAGACCTCCCAGGAGAAAGCCTGCAGGTGTAGAGCTTCCCTCCTTCTAATCCTTTCATTCTTTTTCCTTGAGATTATGCGACACTTCTTCCCAACCCGCTCTGAGCCTGGAACTTGTCTCAGATGTGATGCCTCTGTGAGCAGATTCTCAAAGACAAGGAGTAAGGAAGGAACAAAATACTGGGCACCATCTTTTGCCTAACTGGAAATCAAAAGCGTGCCATCTATAGAAGTGCTTGCAGCTACAACTTGATATTTAGCTGACCAGCTATTATCTAACCTGATTTGAACTTCCCGTTTTACTGGGCATGCTGAACAGGCCTGAATGGATCTACTGCTAGCAGCAGCTTCATGTCCAAGGTGACAATCACAGCTCACCACGAATCTTGGTTATCCTGTCATCTGCTAATACGACAGTTTCACCTCCCTATCTCCTCCCCATCAGCAGAGTGAAATGTGTTAAATCTTACAACAAAACTGCCTCATTTTTAGACACTGCAAAAGGAAGTCTCAAAGCCGCTCAGAACTAAGGCAGATATCATCAGTCCATGGACTGTTCCCACCATGTGGGATTAATTGCAAAGGAACAGTGAAAGCACAACTACTTTTTGCTCAGGCAAAGCTGCTTAAGAATTTGCTGACAAAACTCTTAGTAGTTTGAATAATTTATATTTACTGCAGAAGGTATCTGTACAGATTTTTCATAAGAAACCATACAAAACAATCCCTTTAAGTGAAAGGAAGAAAGCATGTTTTGCCTTTTAATCTACTATTTTCACATTTTCAGAAATCAAAATTTTCTGGTTGGTCTATTAGAAGTGAAAATTTTCCACTTAAGTGTTTTCCTGATGTTTCTCCATGTCAGCCTTTAACTCAAAGGAATGCCTGCAGCCTGCAGCCCATCTCTCTGGAAGATCGGTGTGCAGAGCTGCCACACTTGGGCTTCAAATGGGAGCTCAACTGGTCCCAAAATTAATAATCAGTCAGAACAAAAAAAAAGTAAGGAATGTTTTGTATTTTTTTTTTCCATGTATGACTTCAATACGACTCTTGGCTCACTGCCACTCTAAACAAAAAAATCCTTTAGAAATTTGAGTGAACTTTGAAAGATACATGAGTGAGACAGACTGCACTGCAACTGTACAAAAATAAAAGGACCAAATAGAGCAGCTAAAAAAACAAGTGAGAAGGAATGACTTTATAGATTTTTCACAACATTCATGATCTGTGTTTCTCAGTCCATTATATACATCTTTTAATAGAAGCTCCAAGGGACACATTTTTTATAAGTTATAGCATTCTATTAGGAAAATATTATGACAAAGCATAACTTAACATACCCTTCCGCAAAGTACGGTGCATCAAGTACTATACCATCCCAAATAGTAAAACCCATCATTTACTGGCAAAGAAAAATAACTTTGGGCATAACTTGTTTAGTTCTAAGAAAACATCATCAGCTTGGTATGCAGACATGCTCTTTTACTTACTTCTTGTTTTTTAAACATAGTCATGTTTAGTCATAGTCACCCCTCTTAAAGCTAGGCACTTACATAACACAGGGAACAGTTTAAAGCAGACTTATGTTGCCACAAAATGGAATCAATGGAGTCTTACCCTTTACCTTAAATCAACCAGCATTTGATTTTTTTTTCAATACATCTAACATATGCTGGAAGCTGTAGGATATTCCTGGAAAATATGTAAAACCTTTTTAGTAGGTTTTTTTTTTTTTTCATTACTGGAAAAGTAGTGCAGAAAGTACTGGTGCTGGCATCTGAAATATCCACTGCTAACTTGATTTCTGCAGATGTAGTGTTTGAAGAGTATCGAATTGAGCTGCAGAACATGAACCTGTGTAAGTGAATTTAGTATGGCCACTTCCTCAGCCACTTGGACTACAAGTGTGTCAGAGATGGTGCATATGGTCTCTAGAGGTATCACCTTTTCTCTGAAGCCCATCTGACATTAGCAGAGCCTACAGACATGCTGCCTCTTGCCACCGTGAGGGTCAGTTCTCGAGACAAGAAGTTGTTAAGAGGTGCTTGTGTAATCAAATTAAAATAATAAGCATTTGAGGTGAAGACGATTTACTACTTTACAGCGCAGCCCGTCAAGAAAACTGAATGGACCTCATTTTCTTGAAGAAAGCTGAATTTGTGATGGAATTTTGAGCATGCCAAATAATCATGTTTTTAATCTAGGAAACTACTGATCTTGTTTAAAGCAAAAAGCAAAACTAATATTCTCTGGTAACCCCAGGAACTTACTGAAGTCAGAAAGATACAAGTGGTGCCCTCTTCACTATGAGAAATAACTAGCCACTGTTTTTCTGCCTTGCAAACTCCATAAATAAATAAATAAATAAATAAATATCAGTTTTGGTCCTTACCTCTAAGGTATGCAACAGCACTTAAACACACTCAGGATATTTAACCGGTATTCAAAGCTTTGCTGTAATGTTCCACAGAATGACTTTATATGACTAGGATATAGTCTCTTGTGCAAGAGAAAGTTTCATCTGCAGAAAGTTTCAGATTTAACTATATAGATAGAAACTCAGGAGAAACTAGGAACCTTCAGAAATTCCCCAAGCTTTTGATGCAAGCAAGAAATGCACTTCTATATTGTGTTGACTAACATGCTCAGTACATATATTACAAAAAAATCAGAACATTATGCAAGCAAAAAACATACATTTATGCATATGGCTTTCCTGTTAGAATGAATAAGAGAAAGAACCAAACGCAGTGGATATTTTTTATGTCATACAATGCTCTAATGGAAATACTGAGTGAATATATCAATTAAGTTGTCATCAACTGAGACGTCATTAGAACTATACCGAACTGATTTGATTTTCAGGACTAACTCCAAATTTTTTTTTTAATCGAAGGAAGTATCTAATGGAAGAATCTTTGCAAAAAAATTAGCTGCATAACCAGGAAGGAATAGAATTTGGTTTGCAACAAATTGAAAATTCTTAAGTTTTAGCTTGTTGACAGAACGTTATAGCTTGGTGCCAGAATGTTAAATCAATAGCTAACATTTAGTAATTAATAAAAGAAGTAATTAACACCATGCTTACTGTGATAATGACCCTCATATTTGGGTGCGTCTGTCAGTCTCCCGTTTTCAAGAACCGTGACTGTGTATCCGTGTTGTGCCAGGATGCGCTGGCAGATCTGCCGCTCGGTTTTGCTGTGGGCAGGCGGAGCATACAGAACTGCTCTTCTTGTGTGGCTTCCAAAGTACTGCAGAAGGGACTCTTCGATCTAACAGCAAACATAACACAACGACAAGAACTGTAAGATGAGACACCTCGCAGAATTATAATATATGGTTGTTATTTTTCACAAAAAAAGTAACTTTCTGTGACAACCTGGGAAATATTTATGGTGCAGATTAAGAACTCTCTTTACATTAGAGACTTCTGACTACAAACTCATTTTTTTTTGCCCTCTCTATTCTTCCATCTTCATTTTAGACCACCTCTTGAAGGGTTTCATAGCATGGGGTAACAATGGATGAATGGATGATGATTCTTTCCTGCATGGAAAAAATCCTAGGCTGAAAAATAGTCTGTTGAGATGAGCTGGTGATGAGCACCTGCAGGTGAGTTTGAGCATGGTCTGAGATTGATATATGGGTGACCTGGCAGAAAGGGGGTCATGTCAGCATGTCTCATGGCAGCTGTTTCAAGGAACATATGTCTTACACAGACAGTAATCACAGGGGTCTGAGTTCTAATAGGCAGCATAATTAAGAAAGAGAAGAAGAATATCAGGGGACAAGGAAGCAGGGGAACTGTAAATAGTACTGTAGATTGCTGTGCCTCTTGAAATTTATGTATATTTCTGTCTTCACCTTATTACCTTTCCACAACCTATTAGTCCTACATGATCCAGTCCATGGCAGGATCAGCAGAGATGTATATAAAGAAAGGGGAAAGGTATATGATATCTCAAAAAAATTGCAGGAAACTCATGCGCTATCTACCATTCAGTGTCTTTCCCACACAGGGCCTTGTGATAATAGATTTTGAAGAAATCCTTCCTGCCTACGGTAACCGTGGATAGGAACTTCTTGCAAGGGGGAAGGGAAGAGAACCCTTCCACGCCCCCCTCACAAAGACAGTCCTGCAGATTAGACCTACAGTGTGAGCATGACATGTAGTTCTGAAAAGACTGAATCTTGGCATAACTCTCATCTTGCAGCTAAACCTCTGGAAAAAAGAGGGTGAGTTTATAGGGCATAAAAATAGGATGTTCCATGTGGGAAACAGGTAATTCATATGTGGAATATTCTAGCTATTCTTTTACAAAAAGAAACATCATTAGCAAGCTAGAATTTTTCTTGGTGAAAAGTATTTCCCTTTAGGATTGAAACACACTAGCATTTAAGGGTTTTAATTCAGGATATGAAGTTAGTTCTTGGCAAGCAGCTAAATTCCAACACAGCAGCAGCCACCAATATCTACTTTAAAAATCTAAAGCTCTCCCATGACTTTCAGATTTAGTCAGCTTAGCACGAGGCGTTGAAGGTGCTGCACAAACAAGGCACCATCACTCCTGCACAGAAGACCACACTGAAAAGAGAAACAGATGCTTCAATATAAACAAATGCTATTCAAGATGTATCCAGTTGTTTATAGATCTGGGAGCTAGTGATAAAGGCACTCTCTCAGCAGACTCTTCCCCAAGCACAGGATGTAAGTTTACATTACACTTGGCTACAGTCTAAGTTCCTTGGTGGCAGAGCATGCGCTATATTAGCACCCTGAATCTCATGCCATTTCTGCTTTCAGGCTAGAGCACACATCCTCTGTGAACAGGGTTGGCATAACTGAAATACGTCTAGCTACAACGCTGTCAAAGCCCTCTACATGTATTTGCTAAGTGTGTAACCCAACACTACTTTAGACATTGGAATATTGAGGTACATGCTGATCACATGCTGGCAGGAAGCAGCATAAATAGTAAATGAGCAAGTCACAGGAATTACATTACGTAACGTGTCAGATGTCCTCCCCTGTCCTTGCAGTATTTTTAAAACATGTTAGCTCGGTCAAAAGCTCAATGCTAAAATGTCTCAAAACATCTCCTTCACTTATAGCATATTTCTACCTTCGCCTCTCCCTCTTCTCTTGCTCGCTGCTTTTCTCCTGCCTCATATAACTGCAGCAGTCACTCCTCTCCATTTTCCTGTGTCTTTCCCCTCCCTCTGTGTTCCTAAAAACAGCCCTGGCCTGGTTCCGTGGCCTGTGCTCCCTCTCGCTGCCGCCGCACCCGGACACATGCTGCGTAGCTGCTGAGCGTGCCCCGACGCATGGAGAGCTTCCTGCTCCTCACCTCGCTTGCATCATGGAAGAAGCTCGGCAAAGAGAGACACCTCTAATGGCATTTTGCAAATGGATCCAATTTGCTTCCCACATGTGTTGTGCTGGCAAACACTGCAGGGTGAATTAAGGACGTGCAAGGCGAATATAGGGGCTGGAAATCAAGACACATTCAGTATCCAGCTTTCCATTAGGAGCTATCCCTCGTCAGGTCCTTCCTGGTGTGATGGAGAGTGTTTGCACCACGGAGGAAAAGTCCGACCTTAAACATTCTGCACTTTGCACGTGTCTGTGCTAACAGATGTTTTGGTTACCATGCTTTTTGTGTGCTTATTGTTAGGATTCACTCACAAAAGGCTGATAACAAAAAGCACCTTTCTTCATAACAGCTTTTAACTAGCTCTGAGCATCCAGCATCAATTTTATTTCCTCCTTGGAGAGACAGATATTCCAGGAACAGCTCACAGAGTTTACCTCATCCTGGCCTTCCTCACAGCCCACACCTATCCCGCCAGCTGCAACTGGCCAGAAGAGCTCATTGCGGGCTCAGCAGCCTTGCTCGTCCCCAGAAAGTCTCTTTTTCCTTAACTAACAGCTTTGAATCCTCCTTTATCCTTCGTCTGCTCTCCTAGAGCTCTCAGGCAAACATAAACAGCAATTATTGCTAAATGGCTATTATCACTTGCACAGAACAGCCAAGGAAAAGGGCTCCGAGCTGCCTCAGGACTGCACAGGGGCTGCTACTGAGGTGCGTGTGGAGGGATTAGGGCCACACGCGCACAGGAGCAGGTCATAACCTCCTCCGTATGGCCCACAGAGCTCCCCTGAGGACACACATCTCAGGGAAACACTTTGGAAGGGGTGTTTGGGTTGCTCATGTCCCACATCTTGGCATGCTGAGCCAGGGAGGCCCATGCGGGCCTCGCTCCGGTGCTCACCCATCCACACTGGGGCCACCCAGGTGTTAAGCGAGAGTCACTTCTGCCCACCCGCCTGCCAGAAAAGCAAGCAGAGGCAGCAGGAGCTTTGGAGCACACAGACAATCCAGGCTCCTCAATTTAAGGTCTTGACTGGGCATTTCACCTGTCAATGTTCTGAAATATGGTGTAGCTCAACACTATCTATGGGGCTTGGTTGAGGCCCACATACAGTGTTGCCAGATTTATTTCCTCTACCTTTTCCTTTCACAGCTATTTGCAATCCAGGTTACAAGAGGTAACATGTTCTTTGTGTTTTCTTGCCAAGTCAGGGCATTTTTTTCTGTTTGCTTGTGGTTTCTTTCTTTCTTTTTCTTTTCTTTTTTTTTTTTTTAAATCTATTCTTTAGCTACAGAGTATTAAAAGATTCTGGACAAATTCATGTTTTTAGCAAGGGAGCCTGTATTTTTTTTTCCAAAGTTCTGCAGAAAAATGTCTTACATCATTAACCATGCTGATCTAGTTACTGGTAGAAATATTTCATAATTTCCAATAATATAGCAATAGTCATATTTCTATAAAATTTTGCCTTTTTACATAAAACCTTTTCTCAACCACAAAAAAAATGGCATTCTGGCATTGTGGGCAGAGTTTTGGTATAAAAGAAGCAGAGTACAACTGATGAAAATAATCTGTTTGTATATTTTTTCATTTTATGATTCAGACTTTTTGGCATTCGTATAGCTTCTATGTGCATCAGGCTTAGATTAGGAAAGTGAATCCATAACATATGGGATATTCATGAATAAGTGTTAATGAACAAATGTTTTTATGACAAAATCATCTTTTTTTCTCTTTCCTAATTTGAAATTTCAGGCTGTTTGTTAGTGGGTCACTTTATTACAGACTGACTACACCTACGTGAAAGAGATTGGCAAAGAACATCTGTGGCCCACATCTTATCTAAAGAATAGTGTGGCCTTCTCTGCTGAAATTAATGAGGCTTGACAGCAAAGCTGAGATTTCCCATATGATTTAGGATGAGGTCTATGTCAGTTTTGACATGATATACCTGTTCTTACAGCTTGAAACTATTGCACTTAGCAGAGTCTCTGACCTCATTTTACTGCAATAGGCTGTTACACAGATGATCCATAGCCTTAGCAACCAGTCTGAAGTGCCATAATGTATGTAAATAAAAAAGCTTTAAAAATAATTTTGTAATTTTTAAGCTTATATAATAACCTGAAAAACACAAAAGAAAATAAAATGCCTTTTAAATGAGCTCCATAATATTTATTATGAACTTTAAAAGATGAAGCAGAATATTCCTGTGAGGTCTTAACAAACTAAATAAACAATGTGGTCTATGTAATATGAAAGCTCAAGAATTACACAACTATCCTGTCTGACTGAAAATAGACCTTCCATATCTGAGTCGTACTTCTAAATTCTGTCTGCCTGCAAAATTTAAGGAGCTGCGAAGTTCTCTACTAAGGATAAAATATTTTGATATTTTCCTTTAAATGAGTTTAGCCAATTCTAGGCTATTAGTGTACTAGGATGCAATAGATTATATTACTTTCTTAAATTTTCCTTTATCTTATGAAATTCCTTGTTGTTCCAATTTAAATTCCAAAATTGGGTCAGTAATTAAATCCTACAACATGTAATTACTGTTGTTGCTTTGGCCAAGAAGAAAATAGCAAACATATTTCAAGATGAGGGGAGAGAAACAGTTCCTTGGCATTTTTTCAGATTCCAAGAAGACTGCATAATTCCATAAATATTGATGCATTGTCTCTGTCTGGCAAGGGAGCAAAAATACAGTTTGAACTATTGCCATAGAATTTCATTGACCATCACTTCAACTTTGGAAACAAAATACTTCTTCCTGAAATAGTGGACCAACTTAAGTCTGGCTTAGCTCCTCTCAGGGAAGAACTCAAAAGCTGTGAATCGTCTTTCCAGCTACCCAGCATTGCCCTGTGTGTAGTTTACAGGCAGCCTCTGTTTTACA